GCAAATAAAAAAAACTAGTTAATCTAACAATTTAATTTCTTATTTATTTAAAATACTACTCTATTTTCATATTTATTTCATTGTTAGCAATTATATGAGTATTATTAATTAATGTTAATTAGTTACTCGAGAACTATTACAAACACAAAGTATTTTCGAAATATTCTTTATTCATAGTTATTTGTCAAGTTCATGTACAAAGAGACAGACCATTTGACATGTGAATTGGCAAATTTTTTCTTATTTGTGTTTAAATTATAATAAAATAATGACGTCAAAATGTCATAATTTAAAAAATACATATGTATATAGAAAACTTGTGGTGTGTTATCAGTTTATTATTGTAATTATTTTTTAAAGATTTGAATGCTAAAGTGCAATAATTTATTGATATTGAAAATGTACTTCTTCAATAAACAATAGAATGGCATGTATTCTTGTTCCCATATAAGTAAGATTTTTAAATTCCTGGTCCTGTTAGAGAATATACGTCTGTCGAGATTTTATTTGTGTTCGATCTAGAATACGAGCAAAAACCCAAAAACAAACGATTTCACAAAGTATTTTTTAGGTTAATTTTATAACCAATTACGACTCTATGACAACCCCAAAAATTATCCGGGTATTAACATTTATCTCATAGCGCTTTTAGGTCAGTAGGATATGTGTCAATCTGCGCGAATCGCATTAAGTCTGACAGCTGTGCATAAAGTTAGTTTTCTGACCAACATGTCCATTGGAATCCAAGCAGCATATCAAGAAAACTTTATAAAGTTATCGTTCTTGTTTATAGCTCACTACCTAAAAGTGACTTCTAAAAGTATGATTTGAGCAATATTTTCTTCAAAAATCCAATTCACAAGTTTGAGTTTTATTTTCCATCTTGTTTCTGTAGCCTTTTTGAAAATCTCAATTGTTATCTTGTCATAGTTTTGCTTTCAATAATAACACCCAAGTATTTCGCTGCGTTCAAGATTGAGAGTACTCCACCATTCAATAGGACGAGTGTAAATGCAAAAATTATCAACATTTGAGTATATCCTACGTGTTTTGTATATCCAAAAATTACATTTCATGAACTAAAGTGAAGAAAGGGTACTACTACCTTGAGGAGTTTCCCAATTTATTTCGATATACCAAGTCGATAATATATAAATATTTTTTAAGGTACTTTCTAGTTCCAAAAAGCTCACACAAGTGTAATCTCTGAATTTTAGCAACTTCTCTGTAGTATAGAAAATTGAAAATTGATATTTTTGACAAATAGCAAAAGTTCTGGCAGATGAAGCGATCGAATAAAGTTCTTCTAAAAGAAACACTTCGTTCGATCCTTCAAATATAGCACTAAGTGAATTTTATTACCTTCTGTGGAAGTGATGTTTAATGACTTCCAAAGAATCGAAAATAATTATATTTTTTTCAATCCCGAAGATTTATTTCTTATTCTTTCACTTTTATGAGGATGATATCCTTATTAATGTTAATATTATTTAAGTCAAATTAGTTGTATCCTATAGTACTACAAATTCACTTCCTAATAACTTCCTAAAAAGAGCATAAAAATTACTTCTTGAGAATGATCTCAGAAGTAGTGAGTTTGGAATCAAATAGAAAAGACATCCTCCTATGACAAGCATGTGTTAAAATCATCACTTCTTCAGGGCTTTTTTAGTACTTCCATTGAGTAAATTCTACTTCTTTTTCACTTCTTTGGAAGTTCTTTCTTTTCTGGGTAAATTTACACAAAATACCTTGAAAATTGCGAACTGTAGCGTGCGCACAAGCTTTACATGAAAGCTTAATCGACTCAAGTTTAGAAGTATAGAACCAACAGAAAAATAAAAATTCCAAACTACATCGGTGTAGAGTATAAATTCACTTTAAAATTTAAAGTTTAAATCTATTTTCTTTACTTTACTATGTTTTTAAATGCATTTCCTTTTGCCTTATTCATTTTTAAATAAAACGCAAATTTAGCATCATTTAAAACTACAGACAGCATTCTAAGCAATTGTTGTTGTTGTTTTCTGTATGCATGTTGTGTTTGATTGTAGTTGTTTTTGTCTGCTAAAGTAGCAGTTGTAGTTGTTTTTATAGTTTTTGTTTTTATATTTTTTTATTATTGTGCATGGCAATATTATTATTGTTGTTGCTGTTTTTTTTTCTAAATGAAGGTTTTGCACAATTTCAGGTCGTTGCTACTTGCATTATTGAAAATTCTATTTTTTTTTTTTTTTCATATGAAATTTTATTTTCTTATTTATAGCAAAATCAAAAGAAAAAGTTCGTATAACAAAACTGTTTAAAGAAAAAGAAAAAAGGGAAATGTAACCAAAAAAAACGAAAAAATTAAGCAAGCAACCATTTTTATTTTAACTCTCATACCATAACACCTGGCAACCATTATGAAAATAACAACAACAACAATAATACAATTCAGCGACAAGGAACATAATAAGGGCAAAATATAAATACAAAAGATAAACCCGAAAAAATATAAATACAGATAGCTCCAGAAAGTAGCAGCTGTCTGGGCAAAATATACATTAAAAACACATAATATGCCTTTCTTTTCCTTATATTTATCAACAATATTTTTTAAGTTATTTTTTTTTAGCTTTTTGGGGTACATAATTTTAGCTTAAAAAAACTTACCTTTTCCTGCTCACTTTGTGGAGTCATACACGCGGGACTGGGCTGAGCACTCATTATAAATCACACCTTTTTCTATTTTTGTGGAGAAACACAAAGAAATTAATTGCTTAATTTTTTTAAATTTTTTACTTTTCTTTTGCCTTTTTTTTCTCGGTGACTTTGCGTGTGTTTTTTCTTTTTCACCTATAAAATTTAATTTATTTAAATAACCAAAAAATTTTTTCCCAACAATTTATTTGATTTTATTTATTATAATTTTTTTCCGTCACCCTCGAGAAAAAAAATTTAATTTATATATTTCTTTTTTCTTTGTTCTTCTTATGTGTGTATTTAATTTCAAGCACGTAGTCTTAATTTTTTCACGAAGTACAAGAAAAAATATGCCACTTTTTAAAGGGATTTTTTGCTAATTTATCGTTGAAAACTTACTTTTATTTTAATAATTTTAGAAATTTGAATACTTTTTGAAATTTTTTTGCTAAATTTTACACTGATTTTCACTTTTTCTATATATTAAAATCACAATTATATATTTTCTTTACAGCTTTTTTCAGAGTTTCACTTTTTCTCTGTAGAGATCTTTTTTCCGAATATTTTTTTGCTTTGACTGTGCTTATAAAATGCTTCTTCTTTTTTGTTCGTGTTATGCGCAAACATACTGCGCCGACAATCATTTATGGTGGCGGCGGCTGAAACTAAGAACTTCGGCGGCGACTTCAAATCGTGTGTAAGCCGGCTTCTAATTCAGCTGTTATATTCGATTTATTAACAATATTAAAAATTAAAAAAAAAAAATACAATAATTTTGGTTCTATGTATAGTACATTTTTGGTCTGAAAGGCATGAATTCTGGAAAGCTAGACCTTGGAAAACAGTCACTCCATGGATATCGCATGATTTTTGATGCAGAACCTAGAAATACGTTGTTTTTAATTACCATAGGCATGCTAAAAATAGAAGCAATTATTAGCAAACTGAATAGTGGATTTCTTCGGGCTACAGCGTCCAAATATGGCAAAAAACTTCATGCTAATATCTGGAAAACCTTATGTGATTGATAAATTCTAAGGCCAGATTCAAAACACCAACAGTCTCGGGCAAATTTTTCTTTAAATTTTAAGTTTTCCTATATGCACCTAATTTTATACCCATGCTAAAATCCTCTTTAATGGATTGATTAATACCTCGAGTATGCCACACGTTCCATATTTGTCACTTTAGGGGAAAAAAGACGGCTTGAGTCTTAGGCTGAAAATTTTTTGCGGCGTCTATTTTTAATTTCATTCGCCGGCTATGCTTAGACTTTTTTAAGCCGAAACGACGCAGATCTCTGGTTATGCGCAAATGTCATATGTTTTTGTTGTTATTGTGCTGAATAATGCTGAATGATTGTTCACAGAGTTGTATTTCGTTTAGTAAGGCGTTAAATTAAATTTTCTGAGTGTATAACGGAAGCTGAAGTTTCTTGTAGATTTAAAAGAAAAAATTCTCAAATAACGAACATATTCAAATATTTTTATAATATTCTATAAATAAAGAATTTTTAAATGTATTCTATAAAGAATAAAATTATTAAAAATATACACCAAAAATATTTTTAAAAAATACATAGTATGTTTATCAAACTATTTACCGAATTGAAAAATTTCCTTAAAAAAAATATCGAAAATGTTTATAAAAAATTAGATACAATTTTATATAAAAAGAAAATTTATAAGTTGAAGATTTATCAAAAATATATAATATATGTATACTAGCAAAAGTAATTTTATGAAAAAATTTTTAAAGAAAGTAAATTTATCGAAAATTTTTTGTGAAAATATTATCGAAAATTTAAAGAAAATGGATTGCAAATTTTGTACGAAATTCTGTAATTATCAATATGTACATTATTTATATTTTAGCAAACTATAAAATATTAAAGTGACATGGCCACACATCAAATTTGTTGACTTAAACGGTAATTTTTTTAATTGTGTTAGTGAAAACTACTCACATGTATATAAGTGGTGTGAGTTTTTTACTAACACAATTAAAAAACTTACCGTTTGATCCAACAAATTTGATGTGTGGCCATGTGGCTTAAAACAAACAAATCTCTATGATTCCTACTAAATGATAAAATTTCAAAATCGCTAATTTTCACTTTATTGAAAAAGGTAGCTTTGCAACACTGACAATAAATGCCACACGCAAAAAACAACAAACAAAAGAAGAAAACTGTGCAGAATCGTCTTAGAGCCATCTGAGCCCAGCCGCTGGTAGACTATAAAAACCGACGCCGCCAAACATTTTTTCTGCTAAAAAATGTTGGCATTATTGTGTAAAATTTTCTTAACACTTTCACTAAATTCATAGAATTTTACAATATAAAACAATGTACGTACGATGTTTTTACACTTTTAATTAATAACGCTGAACACTTATACGGGTCAATGACGATTTTTTCGTTCATTAACGGCAATGAAGTTTTTGTATTTCCGGTCGCCGTCGTTAATGTTTATTGGCATAGGTCTCTGAACAGAAGCAACACAATATTTAGAAAACCACAAAATTTATCTTAAAAAATTGATTTATTGTGAAATTTGTTAAAATATCTTAAAAACAATAGGAAATTAACAACGTTTCCCACAAAATAAAAGGTAATAATTATACTTATATTATATATTCAATTATACAAATAATATATTTTAAATAATAACACTAAACAACAAATTAAGAGTAATAATAAAGAGAAAAGAACATCAATAAAAAACAACAACAAAATAATTTTTCGCTGTAAGCAGAATAAGATAAAGAAAAAAATATTCCAAAATATAAAGTCAATCGAGCTATTGTGCATATAGTATACAAATAATTTGGCAAATTATATTGTTCTTGTGTTTAACACCAGCAATTTAATTTTCATAAAAGAAATTCACATTTCGTTTAAAACTTTCAATCGTTGCAGGTGTGAGTAAGCTCTACACGACCGGCCAAACAACAACAACAGTAGCAAGAACATACAAAAAGAAGAATCATAACAAAAAACAAAGCATTTTTTCTGTGTCTTTTTACCTAAGCTCAAAGAACGTAAAATTAAAATCTATTTTTTTGCGTAGAAGCATTTCATAGATTAAAACTAAAGTTCAAGATGAAAATTACTGTAACAACCACAACGGATAAAATCTTTTTTCTTGATGTTTCGGAGGAATTGGAATTAGAAAATTTCAAAGCCTTTTGTGAGGTGGAATCTGGTATTGCCGGCCCACAAATGGTTGTGGTCTTCAATGGTAAACCATTGTTAGACAACCAAAAGCCTCTGAAACATTTTGGCATAAAAGATGGCGATTGTGTGATGTTACAAATACTTCGTCCTCCTGCAAGATCGAGTTTATCAGCTGCCAGTCGTGGCACTCCAATGGATTTGGGTAAGTCATCATTTAAGTTTTTTGCAAAGCATGTGCTTTGCAATAATGTCATTGTAATTGTATCCTCTGGCAATGTAGGCGCAGTAATTCCAAATATGTGCACAAAAACATTGTGTTGTTACACAAACATATAAATTACTTTGTGGTGGCATTCATGCTGTTGTATGTGTGTTTCTTGTGTTTTACAGAAATTTATTTATATTTGTCATCCATTTATTTATGACTTGTTTATATATGTCTGTCCGTCTGGCCTTTTGCGAACGTTCAACGGGCCCGACTTCCATGCATATGATATTCGTATAGGTGTTTGTGTAACTTTTTGTTTTGGACTTTCAGAACTGGGTCAATGCGCTTAAATGTGCGTATGTACATTATTTTCTATGTAATTGTTCTATAATAATGATTTTATTTTTAAATTTTTTTGTCTTTAATGACCGAAGACAAAAAGTAATTGGAATATGTATGTATTCAACATTCGGTCATTACTCGTGAAGAATCAAATTATTTTTCAGAGAAATAAGAGATTGACTCTTAACTTAGACTGCTGACTAGAGTATAGACTAGACTATAGACTAGAATATAGACAAGGCTATAGTCTAGACTATAGACTATATAATAGACTATAGACTAGACTATATAATAGACTATAGATTAGCCTATAGACTGTAGACTAAGCTATATACTATACATAGACTATATTACACTAGACTATAGACTAGATTAGACTAGTCTATAGACTAGAACAGACTATAGACTAAACTAGACTATAGACTAGACTGGACTATAAACTGGACTATAGACTAAACTGTACTAGACTAGACTATAGACTGGACTATAGACTAGACTAGACTAGTTTAGACTATATACTAGACTATAGACTAGACTATAGACTAGACTATAAACTAGACTATAGACTAGACTATAGACTAGACTATAGACTAGACTATAGACTAGACTATAGACTAGACTATAGACTAGACTATGGACTATACTATAGACTACACTATAGACTAGACTATAGACTAGACTATAGACTAAACTATAGACTGGAATATGGACTAGACTATAGGCTAGACTAAAGACTAGGCTATAGACTAGTATATAGGCAGACTATGCTATAGACTAGTATATAGGCAGACTATGCTATAGACTAGACTTTAGACTAGACTATAGACAAGATTATAGACAAGATTATAGACAAGACTATAGACAAGACTATAGACTAGACTTAAGACTAGAACTAAGACTAAACTATAAACTAGACTATATACTAAACTATAGACTAGACTATAGACTAGATAATAAACTGGACTATATAATAGACTATAGACTAGACTATAGAAAATACTGTGGACTAAACTTTAGACTGTTGAAATAAATTCAACAAATTGACCCTCACATACATTAATATAAGTGAAATCTTTCTAGAACACACACATTACAGAATTAGAAGCTATAAGCAGGAGTTAATTCTTTATTAAACAACAACACCTCCACAGTATTTTTTTACAAAATAAATTGATAATTTAAAAAAAACTTAATATGACATCATTTAAATAACTTAAACAGCTGGAAAAAAAGCATTTGACTTAATTTTCTTCACAGTTCAGTGTTAAGGTCAAGGATGTTAAGAGCGAAAATAAACATTTTTTTGATTTTTGCCAATTTAAAAAAATATATTAAATAAACAAAAAATTTTTAATTTTTTTTATGAAAGTATTTGTTTACAATAAATCACAAGGAGAAGAAACATTAGAAAAATAGGAAACCATAACAACTAAATTTATTTTTTAATGCAAAAATTTAACTTACACCATTTCCAAATTAAAAAAATTACAGATGAAGCTGCTATACGTAATTTGGATTTCAGCAATATTAACATACCCGGCACTAGTTCAGGCAGCAGTGCTGGTAATAGTGGCTTTCGTTTAGGTGGCATGCCTTCTGGTGCCAATATTCTGGAATACAATGATTCTGATGAATTCAATGTCAATTATGATGATGATCCAGCTGCTGTACGTAAAATGTTTCTTGATAATCCCGAATCAATGGCTTTACTAAAACAAAATAATCCTCGCTTAGCTGATGCTTTATTATCGGGTAATTTGGAAAGTTTTGAAAAAGTCTTGAAAGAACAAATTGATGCTCGTAAAGCACGTAATGCTCAACGTTTGCGTATGTTACATGCTGATCCCTTTGATCCGGAAGCTCAACGCATGATTGAGGAAGAGATTAAGCAGAAGAATATACAAGAAAATATGGCTGCTGCTATAGAGTTACATCCTGAAGTTTTTGGCACTGTCACCATGCTGTAGGGTTTTTGTAAAGGTTTACATTTTTGTTATTTTTACTAATAAGGTTTCTTTGTTTTTCCTAGTTATATAAATTGTAAAGTGAACGGTGTTCCTGTTAAGGCTTTTGTGGATTCTGGTGCTCAAACTACCATTATGAGTTCGGCTTGTGCTCAACGTTGTAATGTTACACATTTAATTGATACCAAGTAAATATCTTCTCTTGTTTTTAGTTTATTTGGGAAGGATTTTTTAATTTTTTGGTATTTTTTAGATGGAGCGGTATTGCTAAGGGTGTTGGCACTCAACGTATTATTGGTCGCATTCATATGGGCAAATTACAAATTGAAAATGATTATTTGGTTTCTAGTTTTACAGTTTTAGAACAACAACCCATGGATATGTTGTTGGGTTTGGATATGCTCAAAAGACATCAGGTAATTAAAAAAAAAAAAACAAAACAAACAAAACTATAAACTAGACTATAGACTATACTATACTAGACTATAGGCTCTAGACTATAGGCTCTAGACTAAACTAGACTACAGACTAAACTAGACTATAGGCTAGACTATAAACTAGAGGCTATACTAAAAAGAAGACTATAGACAAAACTAGCCTATAGACTAGACTATAGACTAAACTCTAGACAAGACTATAGACTAGACTAGACTATAGACTAGAGGCTATACTAAAAACAAGACTATAGACTAGACTATAGACTAGACTATAGACTAGACTATAGACTAGACTATAGACAAGACTATAGACTAGACTCTAGACAAGACTATAGACTAGACTATAGACTAAACTCTAGACAAGACTATAGACTAGACTATAGTCTATAGACTAGACTATAGATTAGACTATAGACTAGACTATAGACTAGACTATAGACTAGACTATAGACTAGACTATAGACTAGACTATAGACTAGACTATAGACTAGACTAGACTATAGACTAGACTATAGACTACACTATAGGCTAGACTATAGACTAGACTATAGACTAGACTATAGACTAGACTATAGACTAGACTATAGACTAGACTATAGACTAGACTATAGACTAGATTAGACTAGACTATAGACTAGACTATAGACTAGACTATAGACTAGACTATAGACTAGACTATAGACTAGACTATAGACTAGACTATAGACTAGACTATAGACTAGACTATAGACTAGACTATAGACTAGACTATAGACTAGACTATAGACTAGACTATAGACTAGACTATATACTAGACTATAGACTAGACTATAGACTAGACTATAGACTAGACTATAGACTAGACTATAGACTAGACTATAGACTAGATTATAGACTAGACTATAGACTAGACTATAGACTAGACTATAGACTAGACTATAGACTAGACTATAGACTAGACTATAGACTAGACTATAGACTAGACTTTAGACTGGACTATAGACTAGACTATAGACTAGACTATAGACTGGAATATAGACTAGACTTTAGACTAGACTATAGACTGGAATACAGACTAGACTATAGACTAGACTATAGACTAGACTATAGACTAGACTATAGACTAGACTATAGACTAGACTATAGACTAGACTATAGACTAGACTATAGACTAGACTATAGACTAGACTATAGACTAGACTATAGACTAGACTATAGACTAGACTAGACTATAGACTAGACTATAGACTAGACTATAGACTAGACTATAGACTAGACTATAGACTAGACTATAGACTAGACTATAGACTAAACTATAGACTAAACTATAGACTAGACTATAGACTAGACTATAGACTAGACTATAGACTAAACTATAGACTAGACTATAGACTAAACTATAGACTGGACTATAGACTAGACTATAGACTAGACTATAGACTAGACTATAGACTAGACTATAGACTGGACTATAGACTAGACTATACACTAGACCGTAGACTAGACTATAGACTAGACTATAGACTAGACTGTAGACTAGACTGTAGACTAGACTATAGACAAGACTATAGACTAGACTATAGACTAGACCGTAGACTAGACTATAGACTAGACTGTAGACTAGACTATAGACTAGACTATAGACTAGACCGTAGACTAGACTATAGACTAGACTATAGACTGGACTGTAGACTAGACTGTAGACTAGACTATAGACTAGACTATAGACAAGACTATAGACTACACTATAGACTAGACTATAGACTAGACTATATACTAGACTAGACTATATACTAGACTATAGACTAGACTATAGACTAGACTATAAACTAGACTATATACTAGACTATAGACTAGACTATAGACTAGACTATAAACTAGACTATAGACTAGACTATAGACTAGAATATAGACTAGAATATAGACTAGACTATAGACTAGACTATAGACTAGACTATAGACTAGACTATAGACTAGACTATAGACTAGACTATAGACTAGACTATAGACTAGACTATAGACTAGACTATAGACTAGACTATAGACTAGACTATAGACTAGACTATAGACTAGACTATAGACTAGACTATGGACTAGACTATAGACTAGACTATAGACTATAGACTAGACTATAGACTAGACTATAGACTAGACTATAGACTAGACTATAGACTAGACTATAGACTAGACTATAGACTAGACTATAGACTAGACTACAGACTTTAGACTATACTTTAGTCTAGACTTTAGACTAGACTTTAGACTAGACCTTAGACTAGACTTTAGACTAGACTCTAGATAATTTTATTGAATTAAAACAACACAATTCTCTTGTTTCCCTTTCAGTGTAACATAGACTTGCAGCGTAATGTTTTGCGCATTGGTACCACTGGTACCGAAACAAAATTCTTGCCTGAAAGTGAACTGCCCGAATGTGCCCGCTTGTCGGGCAATTCCGAAGATGATCTTAATGTTATGGCCGAATCTGCTAATGATGCCGAAGAGCGTGCAATCAAAGATGCCATTGAACAGAGTAAACGAGAAGCAGCGAGCAGTGGAGGTAAATTGAATAATTAATATTCAATAATCTCTCTCTCTCTCTCCCTATCACACTCTAGCATAACGTAAAACCAAATTGTATTGATTTTTATGTTTATGTTTAGCCTGCTCCACGAGTACGAATGCGAATACAATTGCTCCTGGTGACAAATTTAGTGAAAATGATGTAAGTGATCTCGTTAAAATGGGCTTCAAACGTGATGAAGTCATTACGGAACTGCGTAGAAATAATGGTAATAAAACTCAAGCTATTGCTGCACTCATAGCAAAAACTTTGAAATTTTAGAAAAACATAAAATAGATTTATTTTTTTTCTTGGACACACAACAAAAAAACACTCATTTATAGTTTTAGATTTAATAAAAAAAAGAAAAATAAATTTAAGTTGAAAATTAATTGAACAATTAAATTTAAAATCATACATTAAATTAGTAAAAAATGGAAAAATGAAAAGAAAATAAAATCTTTGAAAAAAAAAAACACAAAAATTAAATTCAAAATTTTATAACAACATCAACAACATAAAGAGTAACAAAAACTAATTTAAATAAAAAGCCTACCATTTTAATTACGAACTACCTCAGGCTGGAAGCATTTCTTATAACAATTTTTTTCTATAACAAAAAGAAAAACATTTGCAAAATAATTAAAGTCATAAAAACAATAAATGACTAGACATTTTATAAAGAAAACGAAACAATTATACAATAAATGTTATAAAAAGTAAACAATGTACTGAATTTCAAAATATTTTAAGAGCAACAACAACAAAAGAAAAACAAAAACATCAACGAATCAAGCAAAGATTTAAGAATTTTTTTTTAACGTCTACAAACAACAACATACATTTCTTATTCTTTTTATTTCTCTAGTTTATAAGTAAATTTTATTTAAAAACAAACAAAAAAAAAACTACGTAAAGGATCTACAAAACATATTATTGTACTATAGTAACAAAACATATACGAAAAATTACAAAAAAAAAAATGATTAACCAAATATAAACAAAAAAGAAATCTTTGATTTTAAGATTTTTTTAAAAGTTTTATTTTTGTAATAATTTTTTTATGACTACACATAAAAACATATTTTAAAAAAGAAATTATTAGGCAAAATATATTAAGTGGCTTTTAATTATTAAAGCAAGCAAAAGAAATATATATTTATCATGATCTGGTTAGAGTTTATAAGTTCTATAAATTATAAAGCAAAACAAAACAATTATAAATAATAATAATATTGGTGGTTGCATAAGTTTCATTTCTTAAAAAAAAAAATAGTTTTATATTTGTTTGGTTAAGTAATTAATAACTTTTTATAGTTTACTGGTTAAAATAAATAAAAATGAATTTAAGAAAAAAATTACGAATTTTAATTAATCGGGAAACTAAATAGCAGCGGCACTGATATATACAGGTCTGTCACACATTCCGATCGGAATGGTTTCAATTCCGTATTATTATTCCGATCATTTTTGTTTTAGCTTCTCCAAATTCCGAATTATTTCGTAAATTGACAAAAAATGAATAAAATTATATAGATTTCATTTAAAATTGTTCCTGTTTGGCTAATCAAAACAAGAACCATGTTTTTAGTAAAGGTTCTTATTATTAAAACTAAGTAAAGCGTTAATTACATACAAATATCAATTCCACTTCAAAAACTGAAAGTGGTTTCATTCCGAAAGATTTTGTCGTTTTCTTTTTTAGAAGAAGCAAAAATACGGAAATAATTCCACTTTCGATCGGAATGAAATTCTGTGACAGGCCTGATAGTCTGGACTATTAACTAGACTATAGTCTGGACTAAGCTATATTCACACTAACTATAGTCTGGACTATAAACTGCACTATAGACCAGACTCCAACCTGAACTATAGACTAGATTACAGTCTGAAATGTTGATCTATAGATCTATACTACTTATTATATTTTAGACTTTACTACAGATTAGACTAGGCAATAGTTTGGACTTAAGACTATACTATAGATTACTTTAGACTAGGCTGCATACACTAGATTATAGACTATAGTCTTGACTATAGACTCGCCTATATATAGTCTAAACCTTAGGCTAGTTTATAAAGTGGACTAGACATAAGGCTGCACTATAGACTAGACTATAGTCTCAACTATATACTAGATTATAGTCTGAACTATAGACTTGACTATAGACTAGACTATAGGTTGGAATATAGACATGACTATAGGTTGGACTATAGACCAGGCTATAGGTTGGACTATAGACCAGACTATAGGTTGGACAATATACTAGGTTATAGCCTGCACTGTCTACAAGTTTATTCTGGACTATTGACTAGGCTATAGATTCCTGCAGACTAGACTAAGTCTTGACTTTGGCATAGACTTTAGACTAGGCTATAGATTACTGTGGACTAGGTTGTAGTCTAGACTATAGAATAGCCTATAGTCTGAACTATAGACTAGACTCTAGGCTGGACTATAGACTGCACTATTGACTAGACTATAAACCGGACTATAGTCCGACTTAAGTTACGCAATAGTCTATACTAGAGAGTAGGCTATAGACAATTGTCTGGACTATATAAAACACTAGATTATAGACTAGACTATAGACTCGCCTACATATAAACTGGACTATAGATTAGACTGTAGTTTGGACTATAGCTAGACTATAGTCTGGATTATATATATACTATAGTCTGGCGTATAATCTGGAATATAGATAGAGTATAGTCTGGACTATAGGTGGACTATTGTCTATAGTCTGGACTATAGACTAGACTATAGTCTAGACTACGAACTAGACTATAGTGTGGACTATATACTATACTATAGTCTGTACTATAGATTGCTGTAGACTATATAGTCTGGACTATAGCTAGACTATAGTCTAGACTATAGATAGCTGGAATACAGACTAGATTATAGGCTGGAGTACAGACTAGACTATAGGCTGGAGTACAGACTAGACTATAGGCTGGAGTACAGACTAGACTATAGTGTGGAGTACAGACTATACTATAGTCTGGAGTACAGTCTGAACTTCAGACTAGAATATAGCCTGGACTGTAGACTTAAGTATAGTCTGGACTATAGACTTGACTATATGTTGGACTATAGTCTAGATTACAGTCTGTACTATTGAGTAGTTTATTCTGGACTTTTGACTAGACTATAGATTACTGCTAGATTGGTAGGTCTGGACAATAGACTAAACTATGGAATACACTTTAAACTAGACTATAGATTACTGTAGACTAGGCTGCAGACTAGACTATAGTCTGGACTATAAACTAGAATTATTTCTTCACTGTAGCATGTAGATTAATTCAGATTAGACTAAGCCTGGACTATAGACTAGACTATGGAATAGATTACAGTAGTATAGGGTGTAAACTAGACTACAGTATGGATTATAGACTAGACTACAGTCTGGATAGAATAGACTTTAGACTTTAAACTAGACTATAGAATAGACTTTAGGCTGTAGTCTTGATTAAAGTCTGGACTTCACATTAGATGATAGTCTGGATTATAGACTTGAATTATAGTCTGTACTATTGACAGTAGCCCGGACTATAGACAACATTATAGTCTAGACAATGGCAGAAGTACAGATGACGATATGTGCATTCTCATTATTATTAAATGTTGCATTATGTTCATTGGAATGTACTTGGAAGAGTCATATAACTTCAATACCTTGCAGTTGAAGCCTCTAAGAAATATCGTTTGAAAATATCATTAAATAAACAAGAACATATAATGGACATGACATGTCAAATTTTTTAACCTTGGATTAGTCCTTTAGGAGCAGAGCATTTACATACTTGATCTTGGCCTCATATTAAAATCAATATAAGTATGTATATTTAAATGATTAAAAATCGAAGACGTTTAACCCATTACTTCCATTTTTTCTCATAGTGGTACTTTTCCCTATGTATTATGTTTTTAAAATATTTATCGGTGAGTATTTTTGACCCCAAATACATATTTAATATTGACTAGAACTTCGATCCGGGACGTAATACTAATGTAAAAAAGTTTATGACGAAGCACTAGCAGACGTTACAGGGAAGTAGGATAGGACGGCAATGACTTAAACAATCTATAGTCAAGTAAAATATTTTACAATTAAATGCACTTTTCCTTAATGATTTGCACTACAAATCTTTACTCCGTCTCGTTATTTTGTTCTATTTTTTCCATCCTATTTTGATTTTGGATGGAATCACTAAGCAACAAGTGGATTCAAGTTTGACATCAGCCCAATAATATTAGCTAGGCGGAGTACATACATTAAAATAGACTCATTCGAGGTTTATAATTTATGTTTTATTTAATAAAAAAGAAAGAAACCAGTCCTTCAAAGTCCAGTCTCTTAATTTTATAAAAAAAGATTATATATATTGTTCTTAAGTTTCTTCTTTTTCTATTTTTTTCTTGTTGTTACAATTGCATTTAAGTTCATTTAGCTTGTTTTCTTCTTTTCTCTCTAAAATAAAAACAAAAGAGCTTGAGTAAAAAAAATCGATGGAAACTGTACACATAAAAGCTTTAAATAAACTTAAAATATATTATTTAAAAAGAAATTAGCAATTGCAAATCTATATTTCAAATGAGAATTTTGAAAATAAACCGAAATGAACGGAAAAAAACAAATTATTCCTCATCCTCTTCATCATCGTCCTCTTCGTCATCTTCATCGTCACCCTTTTTCGTGGGACGACGTCCACCTTTGTGATTGATTGATTCGTTCTCTGGATCAAATTGCATGCCCTCTTGATCATCATCTTCCTCCTCGTCATCATCACCACCCACTTCGGCATTTTCAGCCTCAGCCCGTTGCAAGCGACGAGCCAAATCAGCCTCATCAATGGCAGTAACAAGTTTGGGCGGCATAATAACCTTGAATTCACCATTGTATTCGGTGATTTTGGCCTTAATGCTATCGATGGCTTGTTCCAAAATCTTTAAACCTTCAGCTTTTTTGGTAGTTGAAGTGGTCATCACATAGCTGTAATAAAATAAATTGTAATTAAAGTAATTTGGTATTGAATCATAAAAAGTTGAAACTTACAGTGGAGGAGCAATCAAATTAATACGAATTGGCAATTCTTCAGTGCTCAATTCCAAACCCTTGTTCAAGGAAGCCTTTACAGCATCAATACCTTCATAACCATAGCAGGAACATTCAATGTCTGAACGAATCTTTACGGTGGGCGATACCAACTTGCGCTTGACATTGTTCAACAAAACTTCCTTTGTCTTTTCATCTAAATCACATTCATCGAAAACAGTGGGATCTGTTACGGACTGTTTGAAAATGTCATAAGCTGCTGCCTTGCTGTTGTATTTCTTCTCAAAATGCCAGGCGGTCTTCTGGTACAATTGTTCCAACTGTTCACTGGACTCGTAACCCAACAAATTGGCAACATGACGCAGCAATAGATCGACAGCCTTAGCTTTGGCAAAGCGTTCTGTACATTTCTCCACATCTTCGGGTGAGACACGACGTTTGGACAAATCTATATAACCCTTATCCTTGTCCACACGAATGACGACAACAGGTTCTGTTTTGCCCACACGAATCAGCTTGTTGATGGAACGTATACGACGTCTGGACAATTCAGACAACAGAATCATACCCTCTATGTTATTGTATTCCAATAAATGCACATAAGCACCCATTTCGGCAATGGACAGTACGTTGACCATAACCACATCTTCCACTTCGGGATATTTTTCACTATAAAAACGCGAAGTTAATGCCATTTTGATGCCTTCTATACGTTTTGTACGTTAATTTTGTTTATTAAAACACTAAAATCTGATGCAATTGCTGTTAGTTTTTGGAATTTTGCAGAAAAATTTCGCTTTTTTAACAGCAAAACGTGTACAATTTACGGGCGATTCTTTGTGGAAAAGGGAGATGAAAAAATGTCATACTAATGACATTTTCTTTTGTGCTTCGCATTCGTATTTTATAGACAGGCGGTGTTTTTTAAAGTTGCCAGATAGTTGGCGTGCTAATAATAAGTGCTGCCAAGTTTGTGTTTTTCGTTTATATAACCCAACTAACAACTTAATAGAACTTAAAGTTTAATATTGAATAGGAAGATATTAGGAACATAAAAAGAAAACAAAGCCTGATCTTTCAATAAAAATCAACAATTTATACTGTAAATAAATTTCTAAATAAATCCGAAAGAAAAAACTGGAAAAAAGTAGGAACAAAATTGGAAGAAGAAATTAGATTAGAAGAAATTCGAACAATCAATCGTATAAGCAAAAGTCGAATAATTGGAAACAAACCAAAAAAAAAGTTAACAAAACAAAATGCATAAAAAGTCGTATATTTTTTAACTTGAAAAAGGTAACAAAATCGATTTAAAAAAATGTTTAAGATTACGAAAGTACACTAGGATACTATAGTTGATATTAAAAGTCGATTTTTTTACAATTTTGAAATTGTCAACTTCGACTTTCTGTCGAACTACTGCGAGTATAGAACCCTACTCATAATATCTCAAATTTTGTTTTTTTAATTTTTTTTAATTTTAATAACTAGAATTAATTTTAATTTTTATGTTTGTTGGGTTATTTTCAAATGCCAGACAGTTTGCCATCAAACTTTCTGACAATTGGGGAAAACCCTCAAATACGGAAGAAATATTTTCAACCAAAGCAATATTAACGTTCAACGGATTTTTAATAAAATTAATTTAAATACAAAATATAATACTTTTTCTAATTACTCTAAATTAAAAATTAAATATAAATGTTTTGTTTAAAAAATTAGAAAGAAATTTTTGGTTAAAAAAATTAAAAGAAAAAAGACTAAATTTTAATGTGCGCGCGCAACGGCGCCCCCATATACAAAGATTGGGAGTGTTAAATTGTAAAAAGTGCATTAAAGATAATAAAATAATATAAAAAATAAACAAAAACAAATTTATTTTCTAAAAAAGAAAAACAAAATTAAATAATTTTGCATACGAAAAAAAAATCTTCAACAAATTAAATGCAACTCTGAACGCACATTTTTCTTGTACAGGTTTTATTTTTTGTTTTGATTAAACAATACGCCGCTAAGTAATATCGTGCCAAAAAGAGACAACTATATAAATACAAGCATAAGAATTTGAAAACCAAAGCAACTTGTCAAATAACAAGAAGCAGCACTCAATTCGCCGTAAATTAAGAAAAAAATTGTATGATTAGACAAAGACAAATAGAGTGTGATTAAAAGACCATTCGAAAAAATAAAACATGGCTGGAAGAGGTGGTTTTGAACATCCTAGGTAAATATTTAGTTTTTTTGTGTTAAATTATCAACAAATTTGTTATAAAATTCATGAAATTTTATTAATTAAAGTGTAAATTTTAAGCGGCATATGAAGTTTTAGTGGTAAATGCAAAAATGTGCTTTAAAAATTGAATGAAAAATTTGTGAATTTTTTTTATGCCTCTGCTTGTGTGTGAATTTTATTACTATTCGCCCCTGTTGGCGAGAGATGGTAGCTCGACGAAAATACAACGTTGCCGTATGCAATTTGTTCAGCAATTTTAATGTGTTTTTTAAAGAATTCTAAGAAATTATTATTCTTAATTAATAATAGGCTTTAAAAAAAGTAAATTTGTGTAAATAAAAAAGTGTTGGGAGTATTTGCTAAAATTTATTGGTGGGGCCCAAATATTTTTTTTTTTTCGTGAAGCCAGAAAATGTCAAAGTATGAAGAAAATGTGTTTTTTTTTGCTACCAGCTCTGCCCACGACGACAGAGCTGCCGGCGTGCGCAGTCGCTGTTGCCAAAAATTATTCGCCTTGCAATATTATTTCAATTATTTTTTAACTTTTCATCATATTTCATTGCTTTCTTCTCTTCCTAATGCTTAATCTAAGTGTGGTTAATGCTTTTTTGTTTTTGTTGTGTACGGGCTGAGTTGGAGTAGAAGAAGAAGTTTGTATGAAATCACCTGCCTCAATGGCGAGCCCCCTGTTTTTGTTCTAATCATAACTAACTGGCGGACAGACTAAAAATTTTTGTTTGCTTTCTGTTTTCATTGTTTTTCCAATTCCGGAAGTTGTGGCTGTAGTAGTAGTATGGGGAGCATTTTGATTTTTGGATTTTTTAACCCTTTTATAAAGGAAAAGTTAGTTTAGTGGGAGTTAGCAGGGTTGTTAGTTTTAACATGTTAGTAATTCCCAAAAAGTTGGGTGTTGTTTTATATTTTTGAAAAATTCTTTATTGTGCCTATCATTTGAATAATTTGTGCTAATTAAACTTTGTATTATTATATAATTAAAAGGTAAATAACACTATTCAATTTAATTAAGCTATTAAATTGTAATAAGTTCAATGAAAGCAAATGTGTATAAAAACAATTTATAAGCGATTTTTAAAAATTTTAACTAAAAATTGTATATTTTATAAAAAAAAATTAAATTAAAGCTAACTAAGAGATAAGCAGTATTTTTGAAAGATTATAGTATCCACATAATATGTTCATATGTATAAAGATTTCCATTTATGGATCCCTCAGAAAACTTGTTCGATATTTCGAAAAGCAGGATATGTTAGAGGTATCATTATCAATCACAATAGCAGTAATAGGTATAAAGTTAGGTTAAGGTAAGGAGGGTTGTGCACCATGAGTAGTATGGAGAGTAATAAAGAGAGGTCAATTTCTATGGTAGTTTCAATCTGAATCGATTCACTAAAGAAATAGTTGTGAGAGAATCTGTATTTTTATAAAAGAAGTGACTTCCCTGATAAAACAACTACGATTGTTGAATTCCGGAATTTCCCCAAGTTTCACAGTCATTTCAACCTGAGATTCTGTACTCTAAGATAATGGCAAATTAAGTGCTTAACTATCTCTAGTTCCTCTACATCTTCGAATATCCTGCAATAGTCCGCTTACTTACTGCAAGTTTGTTTGATAATGTCATTATCCACCCGGAAATCAGCTTATAATAGTGACAGATGTGTGGTTTTACTCTTCCATGGCCGTCATTTATGTCAAGGCTCTAGTAAAGAATGTGTATTAAAAGTTTAACAAAAGATCTGTCAACATTTTGGAAAAACATCTAGAGACAAGATCGCATTAAATGAGACTATGATCACACAAATTCTCACATTTGGTAGATTTTCCCTCATGGAAGGTGTAATTAAGTCATACTAATGAATTCTTTAGGCGTTCCTTTAAGATTTTCTTAACATCTTCTAATGGCGAACTTAACTATTTTAAAATAAAGTCATTTCTTGGAGGGTTTGTTTGAAATACATTAGATAAATGTTCCGCAAATGCAATGGCCTTATCTTTTACACTTAGCTCCAAGGAACCGTCACCTTTTCTAATATGACTTTGACCCTTTACCGGTGCCTTTATGTTTCTAGAGGCTTTCCAAAGGAAAATGTTCATACGTTTTATATTGGTTAAACTGCCTAACTGTAAGAAGGATTTCTGCGATCCTCATCTAAATGAAGGGCTTTTTTAAGTTTCAGCTTTGAAAACAAGCAACTTTTCTAAAGACCAAGCAACTTTACTAAAGAAAACTTGTCTTGAAACCAAGAAACTTTTCTACATAAAACTTGCTTCGAAAACTTGCAGAAATTTTTCTAAAGGAAAAGTTCCTTTGAATCCAAACAACTTTTCTATAGAAAACTTCTTTGAATCGAGGCAACTTTTCTAAAGAAACTTACTTTGAATCCAAGAAACTTTTCTAAAGAAAACTTGCTTTAAAACCAAGCAACATTTCTAAAGAAAACTTGCTCTAAATCGAAGAAAACTTCTATAAGGAAACTTGTTTTGAACTTACTTTGAATTGTGGCAACTTTTCTAAAAATCATGCTTTGAATCCAAATAACATTTCTAAAGAAACTGCTTTGATTCAAAGACACTTTTCTAAAAAACAATTACTCTGAATTGAAGCAAAGAAAACATTGAATCGACGAAATCTACCTTCCTTTAGCCAACACCCTTATTCTGACGTTTAAATAAAATCAAAAGTTATAATTTCGTAATATTCAATTGCATGATAAGATCTGCTAAAGTACTTATGATATTTGTTTTTAAAACTGATACGTTTTAATATGCTGGCAATAGTTGTTGTCATCATTAGGGCAATTTTGAGTCATCATAGTGTTATAAATATGGTCATCAACTAAAACAAAATGCACAGAATAATATTTTTATATTTGATATAAAAATATTAAATCATAATTATTTAAAAGATGAACAACAACTAATATAAAGGTCATTTTCAAGGTTAAATTCTATAATTTTAAATCATATCTTTTTATAGGGGGTGTTTCAATGTGTTTTTACTTAGGGACGCAAATTCACTAAATCTTTTAAAGAAAAACTATTTACAAAGATTTTTGTTTTTAACAATATTATTATGTTTATATTTCTAGAAATTATGGAGACCGTGGTGGCAAGCAATTGCCCTCTGAACCTCCATACATTGCCTATGTTGGCAATTTACCCCAAGGTCTTGTACAAGGTGATGTTGTGAAAATTTTCCATGAATTTGAAGTGAAAAACGTACGCTTGGTTAAGGATCGTGAAACAGATCAATTTAAAGGTTTTTGCTATGTAGAATTCGAGACACTGGACAATTTGGAACGGGCATTGGAATTTGATGGACGTATTAAATTGGATGATATTTCTGCGCCGTTAAGAATTGACATTGCTGAGCGCAAGAAAAATGATCGGTAATAATATTTATGAAAAAAACAAAACGATAAGAAACAAAAACTAATTTCTGTTCATGTTTATAACTACTCACAGCAGCGGAGGCGGTGGTGGTTTCAATAAACGTGGTCCCCCCCGACCAAGGTGGTGGTCATCAGCAAAACTTCAATCGCGGTGGTGGAGGTAATCGTGGTGGAGATCGTGGTGGCGATCGCGGTGGTGATCGTGGCCATGATCGTGGTGAACGGGATAATAGAGGTTCGTACAATGATAATCATGGTGGTCACAATGATAGAAATCGTGGAGGCGGCGGCGGTGGTATGAATAGAGGATATAATGGTAAATTATAAGTGTACTGTGTTATTAAATGCCAAACATTTTGCAAATTTTCTTATTTATCTTCATTTAATATTACTATTCCAGTAGTCTGCTAACCCAGTCCACAATTAATTATAATAATTACAAAAAACACTTTATAATTACTTTTACTTTTTCTTCTTATTTTTCAATATAGTTTTCTTTTGTCTATGATTTCTATATTATTTTCTATTTTTTTTTTTTTGGCTTTATACACTTTTGGTCACACAAAACACACAACAACTACTTACTAGCTGCATGACAAAATTTGTATAATCACAAACTACCCCTTACCCGCCTTACAACAAAATCCTCCTCAAACGAAATTATTATGATTTATATAACAAAAATTCCTTTTTTTTTAAACTTTTTAACTAAATATTAATTTTTAACTTTTATTCCCACTTCCTTTTTTTGGTTTATTTAAACTTTCTCTCATTAGATCGTCCCGCGAATCGTGGTCGTTATGGCAATTTCAATAACGATGATCGTTATAATGATCGCAATCATCATGATCGTAATCATCGTGAGGGAAGCTTTGGTGGTCAAAGTCGAGATGGCGGCAATAATGAACGCTATAATAGTTTTAGCAGGAATCGTGGTGGTGAGCGTGATCAACGTGGTGGTGGCAGTGGTTCCGGTAGCGGACATTTCAATCATAATGATCGACCATCATCGGTGTCAACATTAGGTAGTATAGGTAGGGTTTTAGTAACCTTATCGTTTTTTTGTTATTATTTTAAATTTGATAATTTGCATGTTGAGAATGATTTGTATAAAGGAAAGCTTGAGGTAATTAGCGAGAGCTTTCCGGATTGGAAGCTTTCTAGACTAGTATTATAGACTAGACTATAGACTAGACTATAGACTAGACTATATGACTAGACTATAGACTAGACTATAGACTAGACTATAGACTAGACTATAGACTAGACTATAGACTAGACTATAGGACTAGACTATAGACTACTAGACTATAGACTAGAACTATAGACTAGACTATAGACTAGACTATAGACTAGACTATAGACTAGACTATAGACTAGACTATAGACTAGACGATAGACTAGACTATAGACTAGACTATAGACTAGACTATAGACTAGACTATAGATAACTAGACTATAGACTAGACTATAGACTAGACTATAGACTAGACTATAGACTAGACTATAGACTAGACTATAGACTAGACTATAGACTAGACTATAGACTAGACTATAGACTAGACTATAGACTAGACTATAGACTAGACTATAGACTAGACTATAGACTAGACTATAGACTAGACTATAGACTAACTATAGACTAGACTATAGACTAGACTATAGACTAGACTATAGACTATAGACTAGACTATAGACTAGACTATAGACTAGACTATAGACTAGACTATAGACTAGACTATAGACTAGACTATAGACTAGACTATAGACTAGACTATAGACTAGACTATAGACTAGACTATAGACTAGACTATAGACTAGACTATAGACTAGACTATAGACTAGACTATAGACTAGACTATAGACTAGACTATAGACTAGACTATAGACTAGACTATAGACTAGACTATAGACTAGACTATAGACTAGACTATAGACTAGACTATAGACTAGACTATAGACTAGACTATAGACTAGACTATAGACTAGACTATAGACTAGACTATAGACTAGACTATAGACTAGACTATAGACTAGACTATAGACTAGACTATAGACTAGACTATAGACTAGACTATAGACTAGACTATAGACTAGACTATAGACTAGACTATAGACTAGACTATAGACTAGACTATAGACTAGACTATAGACTAGACTATAGACTAGACTATAGACTAGACTATAGACTAGACTATAGACTAGACTATAGACTAGACTATAGACTAGACTATAGACTAGACTATAGACTAGACTATAGACTAGACTATAGACTAGACTATAGACTAGACTATAGACTAGACTATAGACTAGACTATAGACTAGACTATAGACTAGACTATAGACTAGACTATAGACTAGACTATAGACTAGACTATAGACTAGACTATAGACTAGACTATAGACTAGACTATAGACTAGACTATAGACTAGACTATAGACTAGACTATAGACTAGACTATAGACTAGACTATAGACTAGACTATAGACTAGACTATAGACTAGACTATAGACTAGACTATAGACTAGACTATAGACTAGACTATAGACTAGACTATAGACTAGACTATAGACTAGACTATAGACTAGACTATAGACTAGACTATAGACTAGACTATAGACTAGACTATAGACTAGACTATAGACTAGACTATAGACTAGACTATAGACTAGACTATAGACTAGACTATAGACTAGACTATAGACTAGACTATAGACTAGACTATAGACTAGACTATAGACTAGACTATAGATTAGACTATAGACTAGACTATAGACTTGACTATAGACTAGACTATAGACTAGACTATAGATTAGACTATAGACTAGACTATAGACTAGACTATAGACTAGACTATAGATTAGACTATAGACTAGACTATAGACTAGACTATAGACTAGACTATAGACTAGACTATAGACTAGACTATAGACTAGATTATAGACTAGACTATAGACTAGACTATAGACTAGACTATAGACTAGACTATAGACTAGACTAGACTATAGACTAGACTATAGACTAGACTATAGACTAGACTATAGACTAGACTATAGACTAGACTATAGACTAGACTATAGACTAGACTATAGACTAGACTATAGACTAGACTATAGACTAGACTATAGACTAGACTATAAACTAGACTATAGACTAGACTATAGACTAGACCATAGACTAGACTATAAACTAGACTATAGACTAGACTATAGACTAGACTATAGACTAGACTATAGACTAGACTATAGACTAGACTATAGACTAGACTATAGACTAGACTATAGACTAGACTATAGACTAGACTATAGACTAGACTATAGACTAGACTATAGACTAGACTATAGACTAGACTATAGACTAGACTATAGACTAGACTATAGACTAGACTATAGACTAGACTATAGACTAGACTATAGATTAGACTATAGACTAGACTATAGACTAGACTATAGACTAGACTATAGACTAGACTATAGATTAGACTATAGACTAGACTATAGACTAGACTATAGACTAGACTATAGACTAGACTATAGACTAGACTATAGACTAGACTATAGACTAGACTATAGACTAGACTATAGACTAGACTATAGACTAGACTATAGACTAGACTATAGACTAGACTATAGACTAGACTATAGACTAGACTATAGACTAGACTATAGACTAGACTATAGACTAGACTATAGACTAGACTATAGACTAGACTATAGACTAGACTATAGACTAGACTATAGACTAGACTATAGACTAGACTATAGACTAGACTATAGACTAGACTATAGACTAGACTATAGACTAGACTATAGACTAGACTATAGACTAGACTATAGACTAGACTATAGACTAGACTATAGACTAGACTATAGACTAGACTATAGACTAGACTATAGACTAGACTATAGACTAGACTATAGACTAGACTATAGACTAGACTATAGACTAGACTATAGACTAGACTATAGACTGGACAATAGATTATAGACTAGACTATAGAAAATACTAAATTTTCCATGCCATGTAGAAAGCTGAAGTTAAATAGCGAGAGATTTCCTAAAAGCTTATTTCGCTTTATTTTATTCACATACTTTTACTTTCTTTTTCTAGATGACAGTGAAAGACCTCGACTTCAACTAAAACCCCGTACTGTAGATGCTCCCATCAATGGGCTGGCGGAGACAAAGCAGGCTGCTGCTATTTTCGGCGCCGCTAAACCACGCGAAGAAAAATTCAAAGATGAACCACAAAACAACAATCCTGGTTCACCAAAAGAAGACAATTGAATGCATTAAATGAGTAAACAACAACACACAGAAAAATAATAAAAAATACAATATATAAAAAGTTTTTTTGAAGAGAGAAAAAAGAAAATACCAAGAGGATTTATATGCAAAGAGATATATATATACACACGACGACGAGACGAGACTACTAATTAAAGAACCATAAACAAGAACCACTTTATGCTAAAAATATATGAAAGAGTTAAAATACCAAATAAAGCCGAGAAAATACACAAGTTTTAAAAATAGAGATAAAAAGCAATTGAGACGTGTATAAGCAGAATTTTGCTAAAATTTTTTTTATTAAAAATATATTAAAGAAATATATGACTTGATTTAAAAAACAAACAAAAAAATATTTTTTAAGTAAACAAGGAAAAAATAAACTTTTTATTGAAGGTGAAAGAAAACATATTAAAAAAAAACGGAAACAAAAGAGTTTTAATAAAATATAAAAGAAATAAAAAGAGGACTTTTTTCAAAGCTTAAATAACCTTAAAAAAGTGTGTAAGTGTTAAATAAAAGAGAGCGGCAAAATAAGGATTTTTAATAAAATACTTTTTTTTTAAACATAAAACTAATTTAAAGATATTATTTAAAAATTAAAAAAAAAAATATTATTACTACAGCAGCAGTAAAAAAACAACAGCAACAAGTTTAGCATAAAGAGAAAAAAAGGCCCTTAACACACACTTTCTCTCTCTCTCTTAATTAAACCAGCTCCTTACTCCTACTAAAGAAAGATAACAAATTTAATTAATATAATAAACAACAACAACAAAAACTACTTTTTAATTAAACATAACTTTAAAACATATACTTATATACTTGCATTATATACATACATTATATACAAAACGATTAAACAAAAAAAAACTAATTTAAATATACAAATAACAACAACAAAAAAGAAATCTAACAAAACAAAAAACACAATAACAAAAAGGTAAATATTGTAATTTAATAATAAAACAAAACAAAATAAACAACAAAAAAATTTATGCAGGCTAAAGTTATAGATTTTTAATATAAAAACAACAACAACAAAAACAAAATAATTATAAATTAAATTTAAACAAATATATTATTATAAACAAAACATATTTTGTAAAATTCAACCATAGACTTTTCTTTTTCTTTTGAAAAAAAGGACAAGCTAATAAAAACAAACAAAAACAAAAACATTTGACTAAAAACCAAAAACACACCCCCTCCATTAAACTTTAAAAATTAACAACAAATATAAAAAAAATTTAAAACAAATTGGGCAATATTTCAATAACAATATAGTTTTTAAATAAAAACAATTAAAAGAAAAGTTTTAAAACTTAATTTTATACTTGATTTTGTTTTATATAAAAATTTATAAATTATTGCTTTAATTACTTCTCCCTTTTTAAAAGTCCTGCTTTTACTACTCTCTTTATTTTTAACTAAAATCTCTTTACATTTATAATACCTCTTAAATTTTTTTTTAAGTTTTTAAGTTTTTTTATTTAAAAACCTTAATAATACAGCCTATTTTAGTAGTTTTTAAAAAGCCATTTATCTATCCACAACTCCTATTGTTTCAAAAACACTTAACAAAAGCAAACTATATATTTTATTTTTTTATTATTATTTTGTTTTGTATACCTCCCCCCATTTTTTGTTTTCAAAATATAAAATTTTTCAAAAAAAAAAAAAAAAATATTTTCTTTTTTTCTATTTGTTAACAATTTTTCTATTTTAAACCACAAAATCAAAATAATTAAAATTTTTTATCACTCTTGTTTGATAATTTAAAAAAAACCTTTAAATTTTTATTACTTTAAAAACCGCCTCCTACATTTAACTAAACGTGAGATAAACAACAACAAAAAAAAAAAAAAAGTAATAAATCTATAAATTAATAAAGTAAAAAATTTCATAAAATACAAAAAAAAAAAAAAAAAATTAAAATTACTTATATATTGCATATATAAAATTACTTTTTTGTATAAGAAATAAAAAAAAAACAAAAAATATTAAGTATATTTAAATATACTTTAAAGTAATATTATATTAATAATAATAATAATAAAAAAACTGAATAAAAATGCATACATTTAATAATTTTATGTTTAATAAATTAATAAATAAAATAATAAAACATAAAAAAAATCAAAATACTTTTTAATTTTTTCTTTATATTTATATTTAAAAAGTTGAAAAACAAACGTGAGTGTTTTTGTTTAAAATTAGTTTTAAGTTTAGTTCTTAAGTAAAAGTAATTAAATGTAACTTTAAAGTATTATATTATTGTAATCGAACCCACAATACCCAAACTGACTGATTAGCACACACTACTTGTTGGTACATCAGGCTGCGAAAGACACATATGTGTATCCTTTTGGTCCTTTTTTGTTGTTGTAACAGCTAAAACTATACAATACTCTAGTTGGAGGGGTTCTACATCAATGTCCAGGACTAAAAATTGGGCTACTTCAACTGTATACGTCCATAAATCCATAGGACAGAGTGAAGTAGGGTTGGCTGAGCAGTTGAATATGTGGTGGGTTTCATGGGGACCCTGATCACATGCAGGACATTAGTTGGGGACGGCATGGTAGGCATTCACCCCTATCGCCAATCAACATTTCACTTTTTTCGTTCACTAACTTTTTTGTCGTGCAAAAAAATTTACCTTTTGTGAAATTTGTTGATGGAGTTTTGTAAACATTGAACAGCTGTTGCATACAAAATCAACTATTGTGAGTGAATTATTTACAACAAGTTCACGATAGCAATTTTTCCTTCGAGGGGAATGAACATTTTTAAGGGAACAAAAATTTCACTTCTATTGGCGATAGAGCCTGTTGCTCCATTCCGATCTTAGTTGTGCCAGAACTACTTTTGTTTTCCACTGCAGGTTTTCTTCCGTGCCTGCTATGGGCGACCTCCAAGTAGGTACGACATTCATGCGGTATCCTGCGAACGAGGAATTTATGGCATCACTCTGAATGTCGTTCAAAGCTGCCGTATACATTCACAACAAGTACACGATAGCAATTTTCCCTTCGAGGGGAATGAAAATTTCAAGGGAACAAAAATATCACTTCTATTGGCGATAGAGGTGATTGACCAGTAGGCATTGAGCCTGTTGCTCCATTCCGCTCTTAGTTGTGCCACAACTACTCTTGTTTTCCGCGGCAGGTTTTCTTCCGTGTCTGTTATGGGCGACTTCCAAGTACGACATTCATGCGGTATCCTACGAACGAGGAATTTATGGCATCTCTATGAATGTCGTTCAAAGCTGCCGTATACGTTCACAACAAGTTCACGATAGCAATTTTCCCTTCGAGGACAATGAACATTTCAAGGTAACAAAAATTTCACTTCTATTCGCGATTATATTGGTGATTGACCAGTAGGCATTGAGCCTGTTGCTCCATTCCGCTCTTAGTTGTGCAAGAACTACTCTTGTTTTCCGCGGCAGGTTTTCTTCCGTATCTGCTATGGGCGACCTCCAAGTACGACATTCATGCGGTATCCTGCGAACGCGGAATTTATGACATCTCTATGAATGTCGTTCAAAGCTGCCGTATACGAGAACTGATCTAGTGGTTCCTGCACATATCAGCATATGTTTTTCTCGTATATACGAAGATCCTTCCTGACATACCTCGGGGGAGTATCCAACTGTGTGATGATAAAGTTCGCAGGAACTGTTTAGTAAACATGACATTGTGTTCCTTAACTGGGGGGACTTTCGTTTCCTCGTGCAGGTGATGTTCCGAGTTAATTTGTAGGCAGTCCGTTACAGTCCTTAGTGCGGCATTTTGGCAGCTTTGAATGTTTCTACACTCAACAGCATAGTTAACACTGGAGCAGCATAATTAACCACTGACCAATCAATAGTTTTATATATAGCTAACAAGGTTTCTTTATCCATACCCCAAGTGCTGCCGGCTTTCTACTTCGGAATTTGTGCGTGATTGCAGTGGCGTGAGCTGAGGAAGTAAATGGGCTATGAAATGTGACCCCTGCATCAACAACAACAATACATGCACGTTCCCACGACAATCGGTTCTTCGCACCGGAACGACTCGGAGTTCAACGAACAACGACCAAGGATTGTCAACCCAGCCACACCGACTTTACACGTGTCGCTGCTACAACAACAACAATACATGCAGAGCGGACAGTAGCAGAGAAGATGAGATATAGTCTGCTCTTCCTCCTCATTAACACAACATTTGCAGTGGTCATTGTACTCAATATGCTTAATAACTACCTTGAAGGTCCAGTTGATACTCAACAGCATAATTAACACTGGAGCAGCATAATTACCCACTGACCGACCAATCGTTTTATATGTAGCTAAGAGAGCACAGCATATGAGATGTAGTCTTCTCTTTCTCCTCATTAACACAACATTTGCAGTGGACATTGTACTCAATATGCTTAATAACTACCTTGAAGGTCCAGTTGATACATTTAGGGTTGACAGCCCAGTTGGTACCAACCACTCTCCTACAAGTGTATATAGCAATATTAGCCTTACTCGAAGCAATATTGCCATATATTCCAGGATATTTTACTGTCAAGGATTACTCCGAGGTACTTCGAATGATCAGTAGTATTCCGCCTTATTCCGTTCAACTTTGAAGGCATTAAGTTTTCAACCTTCCATGCAACTAGATATCAAGGGGTTTTCCTGATATCAATACCGCTGCGTTGTTGGCATAAGCGACTGGCAAGTCTTGAGATATTCTTAATCTTGTTTGGGAAAGTTCCTAGAACATGTTGTCTATGCGTTTATTGCATACTCTTAATGGAGTACTACAATAATTGTCTATGTCCGAATCGGACATTTTCGGGAGTTCGTCAGTAACATAGTTGCCAGTAGAAATCCCCTGTCCTCGTATCCATCCGAGTACGATGTTTGAATGTCTCGCCAATTCTATCAAAGGATGTCCGGCATTCCAGGACTAGTCGGGATCTAGATTATACACCTATTAGCGACTTAACTTAGCAGGTTGTCCTTAAAGATTAGGATATTTTTGATCGATATCCTTTGAAACCAGTGTCAGTTCTTTTCTAAAGAATTCTTGCATGTGCAGTAGTTGAATCCCTTTTTCGTTATTTCCTTTCTTTCCATGAAAGCATGCTATCAAGAAAGTTCCTATATACTTTGCTCCTTTAGATAAACAATTCGATGCAATCTAACATTAGAAGCCTAAGAGAATTCTGGGTGATTTTGCGTTTAATCTCGATCATGGTGCTTTAAACAACCAGCAGTTCATTCTGCTATGTCAGGATCAGTTGGTAGAGTCGTTGTGTTTATAGTTGTTATAGATAGGAGGTTTCACAGACCTATCTCTTCTCTCTGCTCTATCTAGGTTTATAAAACAATATTTCCATACAATATCTAATTTAGAAACCGTTTATAAAATAAAAATTTTGTTTGTGAATAAGGGCGTTAAAATATAAAAAATTCTTAAAAAAATCGTTTACAGCTTACGATTTTATAATGGAATCGACGGATATTGAAATTATACGTGTTTTTATACCCTACACCACTTTAGTGGGGAGCGTATATTGGATTTGTGCTGATGTTTGTAACATACAAAAATATTCGTCCTAGACCCACCTTAAAGTATACCATTCGGCTTAGAATCGTTTTCTGAGTCGATTAAGCTATGTCCGTCCGTCTGGCTGGCTGGCTGTCCAAGTAAACCTTGTGCGCAAGGTACAGGTCGCCATTTTCAAGATAATTGGATGAAATTTGGTACTCAAGGACGAAGCCTATTGAAAATGGTTAAAATCGGTCCATTATTTCACCTAGCCCCCATATAACAGAACCCCCGAAAAGGGCTTCTGAGCTCATAATTATGTTAAATATACAGATATAC